ACACATAGCGCAAGCTCTTTGACCAGTTTTGATAGCCCCAACTAAGTCTTCAATTCGGGTGAAATTAGATACACTTGCTTTGACTACTATATATTACAGATCTACCCTCCTATTTCCCAAATAGAATCTAAACTCGGAACTAGAAGCCATTGAAGTACAAAAGAAAACGATGTAAATGGTTCTAAGAGAGAGAAATTACCTAGAGGACTAAGGTGCAGTAAGTCAAACACAAGTTGCTGAAGAAGCAGTTGGTTGCAGGAAAACACAAGTTGCAGAGAGTTTAAGCTTTTACAAAGGTAAAAGGAGTAAAAATATGTAAATAGCTCATTTTATAGGCAATGTGAATCAGCCTCAACTGTTAGATCTTAATCCACCTCATCTGGAACATTCTTTTACTAAGATAATATGAGGCGTTGAGTTTAAACGATTTAGTTTTGCACGACCTGCATCAAAACGTTTCCTTCACTCATATAGTTAGGCGTCAGTTTGAAAATTCATAGAGACTACCCATCATTGCTCATTTAATGCTACATAAGATGTGTACATTAGAATATAAACCGACACAACTGCTGTTTCTTGAAAATATGCAAGCCAACAAATCATTGGCGCGCAACTTCCAACAATGTCCTTTGAGCTAAAGATACCATTACAACTCATCCTACCGCCTCAGTAAAAATGAAGCATCACTTTACCTCTTCAGAGCTCTAGCTCATCTTCAAATATTAGCGTTGTAGGTTGACCCAAATTCTAGTGGGTATTGTAGCTCTAGTTGAAGTGGTTTTGAAGAGATCAAAGTTATGAACAAGGAAGAAAACTCATCGTATTTTCACTAGCCTGTCGTTAGCTGGCCGTTCAAGCAGTAGGCAAACTTTTGGAACATAAAGCTATCACCCATCTGTCACCGATCTCTTGCTCAAGCTATAGGACGATCGTTCGGTTGGCTCTAGCCACCGCTCGATCGAGATTTTTCTTTTTGTTAGTTTCACATGTATTTTGACCTAGTTTCCATCTTTTAGTTACCTCTAGCTTTTGACATGTCCCTTGTAGATAGTAGACTCTTTATTCGGTTTAAGAATTACTGAGATTGTTGTGACAATATTATTTTTTCCTTTGGTAGTTGAGTAAAATACTCGGTTCCTTTGCCAATCTATTTATTGCTTTTAATCTTAGTTTCTGTGTGGGATCATATACTTCATATTTTGTCATAGTCGCCTCCTCGTTTCATAACAAGTGATATCAGAGGTGTTCAACTTTCAACAAAGTGTTTTCAGATCTTGTCGAAATTATAACAAGTGATATTACAGCCAGGTTATAATTTTGTTTGAGGTTTTTGTTATTGATGGCAACCATGAAGTATAAAAATTCTATTTTGGATCGCAATACAAGATTTTTAGTATGGGGAATTAAGATGCGAGCTGTATTGGTGCCAATGGATTTGGATGATGCATTGTTGAGTTTTGACAAAATGCCCACAACTTGGAAATAGAGAAGAAACAATGGAGGGATCGAAAGGCACTTTCACAGAATCATCTTCACCCGTCTAACAATATTCTTCAGGACATTTTATAAAAGAAAACAACACCTACGTTGTGGTTGAAGTTGGAGCAATTGTACATGACTAAAAGTCTCACAAGTATATTATATCTAAAGTAGAGGTTGTATTCTCATTGCACGGCAAAAGGCGCATCTTTGGAAAATCGCATGGAACATGTAGAATACTTGATCACATTCGACATATTTCAGATTTGAAAAAGAATCTTCTTTCGTTGAGTACAATTAATTTGAAATGGTACTTGTTCTTTGGAAGAGGTATAGTCTTGAGAGTCTAGATGGATGTCCATGTTATATTGGAGGGGCGGAAAATGTCTCAATTATCCATCTTGCACAGTCAAGTAGAATCGATGAAGAAAAGTCAAGTTTAGTACTATGGTGGATATTTAGTTTGGTACTGTACCTTTGGGATTTGACTCTGGGTCCATATTGAAGAATACTACTCGATCGAGTTTAAAAATATGGTTAATTCCATTTTGCCACCATGTCCTCGATTCCATCGTATTCAACTGCTAGGGATAGACCCATTGGAGATATGTGCGGGGATGCTAATTTGGTTGCGAATGCTTTTAGGGTTTTTGAAGGTATTGAGACTAGTAAGGGACCTTCGATAAAAGCATTGAAAGTTGATTCTGCTACAAGGTGTGCCTTGTTTGGTAATTTTAAATTTTTTCTCAATTTTTGGAACCCAATGCTTGGGTTCATGCATCGTGTTGGACATTGTGGAAGAGGAAAAGTATTTTTGTATGATTGGAGAAGTTTGATTTGTGTTGAAGAGTTTAGTTGTTTATGAATCGGGAAGAAAAGTAGCCACATTTCTGCTAACTGCCTGCTTGAGCAGTAGATGAACTTTTAGAGTAGGGTGCTGTCACCCTACTGTCATCGAGCTCTGGTTCGTGACAGGTTGATCACTTACCTAGCACTAGACACCACTTGAGCGAAAGCATTGTTCCGAATTTTCTCTTTTCATCGGTTTCGCAGGTATGTTGACCTAGTTTCCATATTTTAGATTACTTCTAGGGTTTTGACACGTCCCTTATAAATAGTAGACTTTTATTCAATTTAGGAATCGTTGAGATTGTTGTAACAATATTATTTTCTTCGTTGGTTGTTGAATAAAATACTAAACTCTACTGCCAATCTATTTTTTTGCGTTTAATCTTGTTTTCCATATGCGATCATATACTCCATATTGTGTCATATTCGCCTTCCTGTTTCATAACAAGTGGTATGGAGTTGTTCCACTTTTAACAAAGTGTTTTCAGATCTGGTTCACATTATAACAATCGGCAAATTCGAAGCATTGCTTCATATCTTCATAGCATCTTCCCCTGCATCATATATCAGCAAAAATATAGCTATAATGAAGCATTGCCTCACCTCTTCAGAGCAAAATATTTAATTTCTTTCTTTTTTTCTCCTTTTTGTTAAAATCAAATGTTTACTTGTACAATGATTAATCTAAAGTCCATATTGTCTTTTATTTATCAATATAACAATATTATCTTCATGCTTCATTTCCTTGTGCTTATGTTTAAGGTAATTCTTGAAGTCCTTTCATGATGTCGACAATTTTTAAAAAGTTAAGTAACTTGGGAATGATTCACTGAGAGACATTCCTTCGACATAGATATAGATAAGAATCACTTGAAATTCCTAAACCTGGAATATAAGAGTCTTGATGTAAACCTTTTTGTAGTCCAAAAATCGATAGAAAATAAATTTCTTTGTAATGCCATCTTCGATTTTATATTTGATGTCCAAAAATTACCCCAATTTCTTTGCAAATTTCGCATTATAGTACATAATTTATAATGTGTTGTCTAGTCCGCTGAGAACATAATATTTACATAAGAATTAGAATGTTTCATGCGTCAACCACAACCATTTTCAAAATGCTTCTTTTATCCTCTTTGTATGAACAAGCATTTTCTTTGAAAATTTTTGTAGAACTTAATATTGTTTGATAAAAACAGCATTTGTGTTGTCAACTTTTAAAATTGTCCTATAAATTTCACAAATTTTTCTACGGTCGAATTTGGGAGTAGATTATCAGATATTGCCATTTTTTTTTATACAAAATCAGAAAATAAACGAATAAGGAGTAGAAATAAAACTGAAAAAATAAAAATAATCTTTTTAAAATTGTTGTTTCTAGAGTATTGAATTCTCTATTTTACGATTTGAATGTATTTACTCTTTCAGATTATCGGAATGGGATTGAACAAGAATCGGTAACTATAGGTCCTCGAAATATGTATATGAAAATAAACTCAAGTATTTATAAATAATTTATAAACATGAGTCATACATGTGCTAAATAGATTATATAGAAGCTCACACCTTTTAAGACATTTTTTGTTTGAGCTAGCCCAATTTTGGGAAAGATGTATTTTGAAATAGCGATGTTTTTGGAGAGTGCGTGGTTAAAAAAAAAAAACAAAAAAAATCGATTTACGTGTATAATTATTTTATTGAAGAATATGTGGATAAAAATGAATTTTAGAAAAACGGGGCTCAAAAGGATTACATTATATAGATTTATACACAAGCATACATCTTCTAAAACATCTTGTTATTAGTATTCTGGTTCTTTGAAAGTTTGTTGGGATCTCGGAGTTCAATCAACAATAATCATCATTTAATCAAAGATTCTAATGCAAAAAATGCAAGAAACATAAACCGAAAATACAACCCATTAATGGCCGAAAATCTGGACAACAACTTCTCTTGTTTATGGCTGATTTTCAGGCTTAGGAACAGCTCCCATGTCATGCAAATCACCTTCCAAAGAGAGAGTTAGAAAACCGGCAAAGAACCTCCTTTGAAACCGCCACCACCGCACCCCTCTCTTCTACCAAGCTTTGAGAAACATCACCTATACTTAGCCACTATTTTAGGCCTAAGTTATCACAAGGGACACTCAAGAAGGAGCTCACAAGAAGGCACTCTCAAGAAAACTCACAGTAAGGTGCAAAATGGAGAGAGAAGTCTTGAGGAGAAGAGAGAGGGCCGAATTGAAAGAGAGAAAGACTTGTCTTTCCAAAAACGTGAAAAAGCCCTATTTGGTGGAAAATAGTCAAAGCTTCTCACACAAGCTAAAGCAACAAAAAATATCTCACATAGAATAAATCCTAGCCGTCAATCCCATCCAATGGTCCACAATAAAACTAGACAAGTACAATCCATGTGAATGACACAAATATCACTTAAATCTAATGGAGTTAAGAGAACCATATTCTCACAAAGTTCCTTACAAGGAATTCAATATCGATTAATCCGAAGTCCACGTTTTCTTTTATTTATCAATATAACAATATTATTTTATGCATTTACATAAACATACATAATTTAACTTCTACACAATCTTTAGCGACGTGCTACTTTTGACAATTCCAAAAGTTGCTGCTCATAAGAAAATAAGTAGAAATGGTGCAAAGGCAAACATATATTCAAACTAGGCCGCATCGGGACCACTTACACTTACAAAAAGATAAAAAAAACCAAAAGTTGACAAAACACGTGGAAAATAGATATAAACTCTCATTTCCTAAGAGGCATTTATTTTTCAGCAACAGTGAAGAGAAACATTTGCAGACGGTCAAGTTCACACTTTTATAATTATCATCATGATTTTAAGCCAAGAAAAGCACATCAATAGTAATAATAATCTCGGCGAGGTCCAGAGTCATCGATCATGTCGAGGATAGCCTTCCTACCCCGAGCATTAATCTTAGCTTCAAGCCTAGCCGCCGCTAACGTTTCTTGAGCTTCATTGAACGCCTGAATGTCCTCAACTTGGCGAGTGACTGAGTCCATCAAATGTTCATGACCGCTTTGTGAACTATTCGCTGCTTCTTTTCCAGTCACGTTACCAGTCGTGCAATTCGAGTGCATCCCAAAATCACAACGAGCGCAATAATACACCCAATTATCTCTGTTTGCAATACCATGACACTCATCACACTCGAAGGCAACATTCTGATCTTCGTAAGGGGAAACAAATAAGAGATTGAGTTCATGCGGGTGCTTGTCAATAAGCATTTTCCCAGGCAATTTGGCACAGTGAATATGGAGATCAAATTCACAGTGTGGACAGCTGAAACTGAAGGCATTGCCTTGAGATCCACACGCATTGCACGAAAATGATTTATTCGAATAGGTAGGTTTTGGCAGGAGGGTCAAAGGGTGAGCGGGATGAGAAGCGTGTTGAAGAGAGCGAGGAATATTAAGGCATTGATCGTGAATATAGTAATTGCATGAATAGCAGCCATGAAATGGCTCGGTTATAGGGTTTTCACAGGCATTGCAATCAATTTTCTTGCCTGTATCTAGTTCGAGGGCATTCAGGATGTGTTGGTGGCTGAAATGTTGATTGTCCTGAAATTTCATCTCTCTCTCTCTCTCTCTCTCTCTCTCTCTCTCTCGCTATCTCTTTCCATTCTCTCCCTTCCTCTCTCACTATATATAGGGTTTATATGTGGGAGTGTCTTGCCCTACCAGCTGTTATGTATCGTGCAATATTCTTGAGTTCAAAAATACATAATTTAGTCGAATAGTCAATTTATCCGTTATTTGAAATTTTCAGATCTACGTGTTATAAGTAGTAAATGTTAGCAACTATGTACAAATTCTACGAAATGGGAAATCTAAGATATGATTTTGTTTCCTCTTAATATACTAAATTTTGGCCCATGTACGGTTGATGGATATTCAGATATAAACTATTTAAATCTTCATTTTTTACTTTTATGTTTACTGAGTAATACTTTAATTTATAACATTTCATTGTCCGATTAAATATGATATTGATGATTCACATTTGTCCTTAGTTTAGTTAGTGCAAATGAAAGTTAAGAAACTATTTTTTACTGGTATCGGTGAAAAATTAACAAGACACCACACATTTGGCTGGTTGCTAATTACTTATGGTTGACTGTAATTTTTTCCCCTTCTGGGGGGGGGGGGATTGGGGGCATGGGGGTCAAATGATTGATACATAGTCAACTTATGACAATCAATTGATTATTAACAAAAAAAGGAATATATTTTAGCCAATTGTGTTCTTTAATTCTTAGGAAACTGCTAAGCCAGCGCGCTGCATCATCTTCGTTGACTTCATCATCAACTGCATATATTACAGCTTCTTGTCATCTTCAAAGTCAGCTCACGAGAATTTTCTAATCATTCGACCAACTTGCTGGAAATTGCTATCCGCTGTGCATTTACCGCAATTTGCTGCAAGGTTTGATCAAAATTGCATCGATTATTATGCATTTTTGATACCTTATATAAAGTTAACTTCAGACATAATTAGAAAGGGTAAGAAAAACATTAGAGATCTACCAGAGTAACTTTAAAGAATAAATGAGGACTATGATAATTCCATTTAACTTCATTGTCATATAAGTACATAGGCTGAACATCGACCTTTCAGTTCGGCCAAAACAGCAAAGGCTTTCCGCTAACCTTGAGAAGTATTATGATAAGTCCATTTAACTTCATTGTCATATAAGTACACAGTCTGAACATCGACCGATAAGTGCATTTTTATACACTTATTTGGCCACAAAACATGACTAATTATTGATCAAAGTGTTTAAATTGTGGCTTAATTTTATAGATGAATGTGATGGAATTCAAGAAAAAAGAAACTAAAAAGGATAAAAAAAAAAAAAGGAAGGAAATTCAAAGTACGAGGACTAAATTGTAACAATTCAATAGTTGATTTGGACCACAAAATGAAGACTAAAGATGTTGCTAGTTCAATTGGATGCAATTAAAAGTCAAAAGGTTGAAAATGCAAGAGAAAGGACTTGAAAGAATCAAGAATCGACTTCAGGGGCTAAAATGCAACATTCGAGAATTTTTTTATAACTGAGCGACAGCCCAATTATTTTGAGTGGGTGACTGCCCAAAGCAAAAAAATAATTACCGAGAAGAAATCCTTGGCCAGGGCGACTATCGCCCTTGCCAATCACGGCGAAAAATTTCTGATTTCCTATTCTGACTGAAATTCTTATGGAAACAAATTTTTAGAGGTATTTAACAACCCTAGGGTCGTCCCTAACCACATACCACGATTTATAACACATTCATAAGGGTTTTTAGAGAGGATAACAAGACAAGAACGTGAAGATTGATATCAAGACGCAAGGATTCAATTCAAGATTTAAAGTGATGATATCTTTTCTTTATTATTTAGTTTGTTTTCTTCTTCTCATCATGCTAAGTTAGATTTTTATGTACTAAAAGATCGATGAAGCTTGTAATGTGATTCTTAATTCCTGGTTTTATATTTTTGACATTAAAACACGTTTGATTATTTTGAATGGTTTATATGCATTTAATTTCTTCCGCTATTAAGGGCCCATAATTGTCTGAGTTTGGTGACTTATTTCTTGCATTTGAGAGAAGGAGAATAGGTTCTACAAGGCATAAATCATTGCAGAGTCTGATAGAGGATAGAAATATACTGTTATACTATTCGTGAACCTTTAAGTGCTCACAAAACTACATGCATTCTTGTATATTTGTACCCGTCATATACATATAGGTGGGTGGTATATAAGAGTATGTTCAACTTTGCTCGAGAGAGACTGTTTGATAATTTAGGGGCATTGATTCTTCATAATTTCAACGTGTTGTCAATTTGTGAAATTAGGGTTAAATCGAACATTACTTGGAGATTCGTGATCATAGTGCGTGCGTTCTCAACATTAAATAGCATTTAGTTCATTTAAATATCAATTTATATTTTGTTCATTGTTTGCATATTTAGTTAGGTTAGAGCACAATTAGATCACAATTTCAATTGGGATAATTTAGTTTTGGTTAAGGTTTGAATAAATAACATTGAACTAAATCAATCTTTGTGGGACGATATTCGGACTCAATTTCCACTTTATTACTTGTTGCGAACCGTACACGTGGGTACAAAACGAAAGAAATATTTCATAAACAAGTTTTTGGGTCTGTTGCCAGGGATTGACCATTAATTTGATTTAATTTTTTTCTAGATACTAATTCGAACTTTAATTTTTAATTTTTTTTTCCATTTTTAAGGTTATTTTATTTTATTTCTTTAATTATTCAATTCGTTTGAATCTGAGTGCTACTACTAGTTTTCTCGCAGAGTTGCATGTCAAGATTGACTGGAGGAGAATTAATTCCAGTAGATTTGAAAATTGAGCGAACCTTTCATCAATTGCAACGAGAGAACAGAAAGGCATATCAACAATAACAGGAACCAATGTCTAATGTGCAGAACAATCATGGCTTCCAAGCCAATAAAGAAGGGGTGATGGACGAAGGTAATATGCTTATGGGAGATTTCCTGACCCCTCAGATAATCCAAAGCCAATCCAGTATAATCTACTCATCGTTTCGTTTGGACAACCCAACTTCCAATTGAAAACAAATGTGATACAATTGTTTCAGAATGGACACTTGTGCAAGTCTCTCGGTTCTTAGAGATGTACCAACACTTCAAGTATCAAGATATCTTAGATTGAGATGTTTCCACTACACTGTAGGATAAGGCAATTGAATGGCTCGACTCCCAATCGATCGCCAACATTACTACATAGAATGATTTAGCACAAAAATTCTGTGCCAAGTTCTTCCCGTCCATCAAGATTGCAAAGCTCAAGCATGACATATCCGTCTTCATACAGCGGAAGTGTCCACATCACGGGATCAGCAAGGGACTCCAGGCCTAGTACTTATATGCGGGACTACTTCCCAATTTCAAAAGCATAGTTGACTCTTCATCTAACAGGTCACTATCTACTAAAACCATTGATGAGGCACATAAGTTATTTGAGACTATAGCTACTAAATCTGCTATGTGAACATTAGAACGAGTTGTACAAAAAAATGACACTGGGAGTGTATGAAGTGGATGCATATTCAGCTTTATCAGCAAAGATTGACTCACTATTTTACAAGGTGAAAAGCATATCACAATCAATTAATGCAACATATGCATGGAAACCAAATTGTAAAGAATGTGGAGCGAATTATAGTACAACGGAATGCCCAATTCTATCACAGGGAATGGAATAAATAGAGTGCACGTAATGGGGTCAACATCAACAGAACTATCAAAATTGAGACACTTACAATCCTAGTTGGAAAGAACGTCCAAATCTCTCGTGGGGTGGTACCCAAAATCAGAATAAATCCCAGACAATTTCAGTAGGAGAAGACATTTCAGTTGGAAGAGATATTTGCAAAATTCATGGAAAAGATAGAGACATACATGGAGATAAATCACTAGTTAAGACTGAAACAACTTTCCAAACTCAGGGTGCCGCAATTAAGAACTTGGAGACACGGATGGGACAGATGACACTCGCTATGACGAAAAGGGTACCAGATACTTTACCAAGCAATACTGAGGTAAATCCCATGGAGCATGTTCAAGCGTTCATAACTCGAAGTGGGATGCAACCCTCTACAGAAGAAGAGATTGTACAGCAAGACGAGTAGACACGTGAATCCACACCAAATAAGAGTTCAAAGACGTTAAGGGATAAGGCCACCATTCCAGTTAACCCCTATGAGCCACCCTTTCCATTTCTCCAAAGATTGAGGAAGCACATGATCGAGCAACAATATAAAAAGTTCCTTGAAATCTTCAAAAAGCTCAACATCAGCATCCCGTTCGCCGATGCACTACTCCAAATGTCAAGCTATGCCAAGTTCTTTCATAGCTTAACGTATAAATGTATATTCGTCATTTCATAGCTTTTTATTGAGAAATTTGATGAAAATTGATAAAAATGATAGTTGGCACAATCAAAGTGTAATTAAGAGTGAAAATGTCAAAAAAAAAAAAAAATGAAAGCTATTGACTTTTTCACAATAATAGCGAAATGTAAATACATTTTGTGCTAGTTACCTTTTTACTAATTTGTTTGGGAGTCATTTGCACTTTTTAAAAATATTTGGGACTATGATTGAAATTAATTCTTTCTTTTTCTTTTTGTTTTTATTTAAATAGAAAAATATATTCGTTATTTCACATTTTTTAATTAAGAAAAGGATAATTAGTACATAATGCCCTTATCTTTCACTATTATTATGGAAAACGTCATGACTTTTCATATTTTTTTAACTTTCACGTTTCATTGTGGAAAATGTCTTATTTGTTTTCTCAATTAAAAATTGTGAAATGACGAATAAACATTTTTATTGATATAAAACAAAATGAAAAAGATATAACTAATTGCAGCCATAGTCTAATTTTTTTTATTTTTTAAAGTGCAAACAAAATCCAAATAAATTAGTAAAATGACAATTGGAATATAATATCCATACATTTCACTATTGTTGTGAAAAGCATCTCTGGCTTTCTTTTTTGGCATTTTCACCCTTAATTACAACTTTAATTGCGCAAACCATCATTTCTATCT